AACATTGTTTGATACATATATAAATTATTCAATATATGCTCCATATAGGTTTGGTCATGTTTGTCTAGCTTGCTATATGGTGGAGTATCTCAAAAGTAGCATAATACATGAAAATATGCATTTTTGCATTTTTTGTGTCTTTGAGTCGACTCAAACTTTGTTCCGGTCGACTCATACAAAAAGTATTTTGTATGATCTACTCTCAGGAGTGCTCGCGTCGACCCTCCGGTCGACTCATACTGTGTTCATTTCTGTCTGCCAAATTTTGTATGATTTGCATCGATGCATGAACTGTTTCGGTCGATGCAAGGTGTTGTTTTTTGCATAATCTGAAATTCGGGTGAGCTCAGGTCGACCCTTCCCTATGTATAGATCAACCGCTCGCGCGTTTTTAGTTAAATTTCTATTATGTGAACCTGTCTATGTGTTTGTTATATTGGTTAATTTTTTTTTTACTTGTATATATAGTGAGTTAGCTTATTCTTCAAAAAAACAACAAGAAAAGTGAAAATAGACACTAATTTTGTTCTCGTCATCTTCATCCTCTTTCTTGTATTTTCGCAACAACTACACATAATCATTTTTATTGTGCATTCTATATTTTAGAGGTGATAACGTCCAAACATAGGATCAATCGGGTTTGGGTTGAGAAATCAGTGGGTTTTTCTTGAATAAAATCTTTAGGGTTTTGTCCTCCAAGAATCTTGGATTTTGTGGGTTTTTGCACGAGTCTATCCATTACAGATTCATCCGAGCGAAGGTAATCGAAGAACGGTTGGTTCTGTCGGTTTAGTAGCGGTAACCGGAGGATTGTGAGAGGAAGATTCGGGTTCGAAGCGTTGGTGATTGAAATCAGCCGGGAAAGATTTGAAGACCGTGGGGTTGTTCAAAGGGTGTGTCATAATCAGAGGTTTATTCATCGCGTTCGAAAGACTTGATTAAGCTTGAATCAAGGGAAGAGAAGGAATAGGCTCTGTATCAACAATTGGGTTTGATGGTTTGATTTCTATTGCTTCTCTTGTAAACATTTACCAACAGGTTATATATATATATATATATATATATATATATATATATATATATATATATATATATATATATATATATATATATATATATATATATATATATATATATATATATATATATATATATATATATATATATATATATATATATATATATATATATATATATATATATATATATATATATATATATATATATATATATATATATATATATATATATATATATATATATATATATATATATATATATATATATATATATATATATATATATATATATATATATATATATATATATATATATATATATATATATATATATATATATATATATATATATATAGGTGTCAATTATATTTTTAAAATTAAGGGCAGACGTACCCCGAGCGAGGACGACGGGAAAAGTGCCTCAACAAATTGATGTTCTCTCTTTATTTTTCAACTGCTTAATTTATGAGTTTGTGTGCAAACAATTTAGTTGATCAAAATTCTGATGTGTGTAGTGCTGAACCATTTTTAGAAGCTTATTACAATTCTTGATTGTAATTGAATACTTAAGCACTTCACTCACATATTGGAATTCACTTGGGGTGCCTTGCACACCAAGTGTTTGACTAATTGTGTGAACAACAAACGCTTGTGATGTCTTTTCAATTGGGTTATATTTTTCATGCATTGGAAATAGTCCACCCTCATAGTGAATAAATTCTGGTTGATGTGTCTTCAAATTAGTGATTCTTAATCTCGTTTTTATCGGATTCCATAGGTTTTGCGTATATCTGGTTGTTTCGATAAAGGTTCATTTTAGACGAATATAGTTCATCGGCCGCTTCCACCTAAAAATTTTTAAAACCAAATATTGGTAGCGTCGACTCTATTTTTAACAAGTGATATATTCAACCCTCTCCCCCCCCCCCCCCTTTCTAGATCTGTGTCATCGTCTAACACTATTTATCCTCCTTTCTAGCATCTCATACATTCAAGCTTCTCCTTTTCATCAATATAAATTTTTAAGTTTTTCAAAAACAAATCTCTTTTTGTTTTGATTTGTAGTTAGTTGATTAAGCTACATTACTTGTTTTAGATACATTATATAGTAGTGTAAACGAAATTGGTAGCCTATAAAAACATGCATTGAAATATTTTTGAAAGGTTAGGGCAGCAATGGCGTTTTTGTCATGGCTAAAAATTCCAAATTTTTCTAGAGATGCATCTTTGAATTTTCTCAATGTTATTTTTGGAGATGCATCTCCAGATTTGACTCAGACTAAAATATAGCAGATTTTGTGAATATTGTGGATTTTTACTAGCATGCTCTTTATCTTTGTGTCTGTTTGTAACGCATATGCAATGGTTGATAACAACAATGAAAACAACCTTGCCAGAGTTAGTTGGGATGTGTGCCTCAAACCAGGGCCGCATCTAGGATCACGAAGCCACAAGTTAATGATAACTCATTTGATGGTTCACAACCATCAAGTTCACAGCGCCTGGGTTCTGCTTCTCATAGCCGCATCTTTCAGACATCTATTTTATGGGGCCACGAGTCTCTAGACCTATTAAAGAGTTATCCATGAGACCTATTTGACATATTCTTACTTTATCTCTATGCAGCTCATGTTGCTAGGCATACTTGAGAATGAGAGGTATAGTTTTTTTTCTTTGCAATACATATATTTTCAACTAATTAAATCGATACAGATGGTAATATTTTCATTTTACATGAGCGTACGTGTTTGAAATCGATAAACCATTAGCAAAAGATATTGAATTTGGGGCAGCCCACGGCTAATTGGTTTCAGGATGTTGTCCGTTATTCTGGTCTTATCGGTTTATGTTTTGCTACGTACATGACCATATCTTACAACATACATGCGACTTTTGCTGAGAGGTGGGTATATGACATAATAGGTGTTCGTGCTAGGTTTAGTTTTTTGGACAATATTAGGGGGCCTGTTTGTGACATAATAGGTGTTCGTGTTAGGTTTAGTATATGACATAATAGGTGTTCGTGCTAGGTTTGACCCCAGCTAAGGACTGTGATTCACGAGTATAATCGGGGGCGCCTGTTTGATCTACTTGTACTCGAAGTTGGATGAGGGTTATCTTTGTAAGACAAAGCATATGACAAGGAGCTACATGTTGCTTACGGTAATTTACCGTTACTAATATTTTCATAATTCATTTGTTACGATTGTTATAATATTGTATATGAACCAATTTCAAGGGTGGATCATCTCGTACTTTCCTCGTATCATCGAATTTGAAGTTGCATCTGCCTACACAGAGGATTGACCACATGTAGCCGCATATATTTCGTACAAGGGAAAATATTGTGGTTGAACCATTTAGAGTGATACTCTGAATGGCTAGCATGTGAGTTATCTCTTATGTATCATTATCTTTTCGAGCGAGTGTTGCGGCAATTTGGATATCTACTGATTATTCTGAGACCCTCTAATGAGTTCGCTCCTCCCACCGTCCACCGTAGAGATCTCGATGTGATACTTGACGATTTCGGAGTCATCTGATATCAGAGGAGTATCGCATGATACTAGCTCCTATACAATTGGTTTATGCCGACAGCTCCATGACATGGTTCTATAAGGGTCACACCCTATCATGACACCAGAAGTTTCTGGAAGACCACCTAGGCCAACTAATCATAGGGTACTTAAGGCTTAAGATAACCACACCGAGGACGTGACGACGATCTGTCAACATGTTAAGACATGTGTAGAGCAAGCATAAAGGTAGAATTCTTTGAGAATGACAGTCTCCAGTTAGCCCTCATGACAAACATGGTTGTCGAGTTAGGAAATATCGTGTAGTAGAGGAGGAGAAAGCATGGGGTTCAAAAAAACTCAGTAGTTTATGTTTGTTTGAATGAATTATTTTATTTATTTATTGGACAAATATTATGTATGGTATTAATTTTTTGAATTAATGTACAATTTTTTTAATTTCATTTAACTTTAATAAAGCATAATTTTAGTTTGATTTTAGTTTAATATAACTTCGCAAAAAAATTATAATATTAAGACAATTTCATTTAACTTTAATAAAGCATAATTTTAATTTGATTTTAATTTAATATAACTTCGCAAAAAAATTATAATATTAGGACAATGCTGCTCTAAAATAATTCAGAGAGCTTCCCAAGATATTTATTATTTATTTTTGTGACTTTGAGTGCATTCAGAGATGGAGGGCATTTTTAAATTTTTAGAGAAGTGAAGTGCATACTTAAGAATGTAATGACCATTTCCCTAAATATTAAAAAAAACTCAAAATCGCGTCTGATTTATGTGAAATTTTCCTTTGACTGTTCCATAATTTGTGAAGCTAGACATTTGACCACCACACAAGACCCTTAAGAATTTGATTGAAAAGGTCATACTAGTCTGAAATTCTTAATTCATTGGTTTAACAGAGCTTGGAGAAATCAAGCAGGATGCTGAGCAGTTTCGCTCATCTTTTAATGTCAGTTATTTAGCTAGTTCATCTGAACTCTAGAAAATGAAATATCAACATTTTTACATGATGACAATATCTACTTTTCCTTTACATTTAGTGGCATTTAAGATGTTCTTAATTGCTGCTAAATGTTCATGTTCTCCAAACAACAATTGTTGCAAACACAGCCATAATGCAATTCATCAGTAATAAAAACTAGATAAACAACATACAACTCGCATGCACACATTTTATTATGAAACGAACTCTGCACGAAACAGACAAAGCTAACAGAGGTATTTTTCATTGACCAGACAAATAAAATCGATGGACATGAATCTAGTTATGAACAGAAACCATCCAAAACTTGGTACAATATAAGTAATAAGTTTTCTCAACAACATTGCATGGAGGATTTGACTAAATTTGATTGCTGTACACATACACATACTTGACCCAAAACTAAAATTAAGGTTCTATGCATTACACTGGGAAGGAGCTTCATCAATGCAATCATTTCGCAGTTTTCGAGTGTTTGATAAGCCAGTCGATGACCACGTCGATGTTTACAGAATCCTTGCATGAAATCATATAGCAACAAACCTCTCTGTCTGTAAGTGACTCGAGTCCTCTGAAATCATTCCAAGTAAAAAGTCAAAGGTTTAACTAGTTACACAGCATCAAAACATATTTCAATAAACACACACACATAATAGACAATAACAATAATAATGATAATAATGATTATGGATCAATTTGTTGTAAGAACTCACAGTTGATCAACTAATGCTTGCTTGGAAAGAGCTTCTGACTTGTCAATTTTGTTTCCAAGAACAAGCAAAGGAATCCCGTTTAAGGAAGGTTTTGTCAGGAGTTCGGTTAATTCGCTTCGAGTTATTGGAACACTGTCTCTATCAGCAGCATCTACAACATACCTGCCATTGCACCAAGAAACGTCACTCTTAATTACTTGAAAGAGCAAAAGAAAAGAACACCATAGTATGAAGCATGCTCGACCAGTCTATACCGTTTGATAATAAAAAACAATACTTAAAAACATGCATCAGGTTTTCTGTCGCCAAAGCTTGAAACTGATACGGTTTAAAAATAAACTTTATTTAATTCCAAACAAAGAGTACACATACATACAAATCTTAGTTTAACAATCAACTTGAGAAAACATTAACAGGGAAGATATATAAGGAGTTATGTTGGTGGTAATTACCATTACAGTGGAAGGAAGTTGTGATATGATAAGTGTTAATAACATCTCCCACACCATGGTGAGATTGAAGATGATTGGTGGCTATTTATTTGTTTGGTTCACCGGAACATGTAAAGTAGTATCCTCCCTTAAATTGATTAACTTCTTATTCAATGCGTTTAGTTCTGTGTTGAATTCAATGAAACGCATCATTCTTAATTTCTGTGTTAAAAGTCAGGATCTAAAATCATCGTTGGTAGCGTATGGGATGAGAATCATGAGATGGAATGGATAGTCATGGAGAGGCAAGGGGTCAAATATGTTTTGGGTTTTCTCCTCAGGCAATAGTTATCAATGTTTAGGGTTTGCAAACATTATTTTGTTACAGTTTTTTATTTTCACCAAGCTTCTTCTTCAGAATTTGAGTTGGAGAGGCACAAATGGGGAAGAAATAGGGACATAATTGTGTGTGGAAATGTGTAGATATTTTCTTTTTTAATTTTCAATGTGGACCGATGAAGGATTTAATTGATCCCTAACCCTAGAAGTCACCTGAAAATAAATTCCATTCCTAGTGAAGCATGCAACGTTTTGTACCGTCAAACATGTTTTTTGGACTAATTGTTCTGTCCAAAATAGGAAAGTCCACATTTTTAACTTTTTATACTCACTTGATTCTGGTTGATAAGACCAATAAACAAATGATGAATCTCCAAACTGAGCAGTTCACTCTCAGCCATCATTTTCAGTATTGTTCCACATAAGTCCTCTATGTTTAATGCTTGAATTCTACCAACACATCAACCCTACCTGCTATTCTTATAATTTGGACAAGGGCTTAACTTAATCCTAGTGCTCATATTCTAGCCGATGTTGATCTCAAAACCACTCCCGCGTGTCCAGCATTGAAAATATGGACAGTCAACAAATACAAGTGGCCTAATGATATCTGTAATAGGCTGCGATACCATATTGGAGTATGGGCCTATGTTGTTAATCTCGGATAGCGTGTAGCAGGGACCCCTAAAATGCTATAGCAAAGACTAAAAACCGGTGTGTAGAAAGTAAACATAAATACACAAAAATAGACTGATACATAAAATTAAAGAGATCATCATCGTACATAATAGTCAAAGAATCTAAAGTATAGAGTAATAAAACTTTAGCATAGAAGAAGAATAAACTAGAACTGAACTAAAAGTAGGAAGAAGAGCATAACAGTTATCTATGAGCAAGATAATATTACTCTTCAAAGGATTCAGATTGAAATTTATACCCTTAAAAAAGACAACAATGAAAAAAAAAGAATTTGTGGAATTTATCCCCAATATTCTAATAGTAGCAGATCCTACAACTGCTATTATTGACAGCGGCTCGCGGCCAATAGTGCTGCGCCGAACCCTACAACTGCTACCCTATTCTGCTATAGCATCCAATTGACAGCATAGGCTTAACTTAATCCCAGAAACTACCGTAAGGGGTGTTTTCTCCAAGAGTCCTACCATTTAAGTTCTACATTACTAATCCAATCTATAATTTTGTTATTTCTCCAAGAGTATACAAATCACATTTTAGGCTTGTTTTCTGCTTGACACAGAACCAAACTTTGGGGTCTAACAGAAATATAAACAATAAAGAAGAAAACATCAACTACACACAATCTCGATCCATCACCAAAACCTAAAAAGTGTGACAAAGGAAAATGTTGTGTATGTGTGTCAATGTATGCATACATATATAAGTAAGAAAGAAGAGAGCATGAAGAGAAACAGTACACAATAGCAGAGACACCGCGACAGTAACGCTCCCACATTGTTCGAAACCTCCTTTGCCCACCAAGATCCCAAAGCTTTATCGTGACATTCCCCTTAGTCACTTTTCGCATGTTAAACCCAACCTAAAATTAAATACCAGAATTCATGTTTCAATCACTAGCACAATCTTAAACTCTGAATTCAAAATTAGAAAAAGAAAAAGCACTGACAGTTGGAATCATATCTTCACTGTATCCTCCTGTCTGTCAAACAAAACCAACAAGACAAAAGTCAATGTCCAAACCATGAAACCATAGCAACAAAACAAAAGCAAGTTTTTTTTGCAGCGGCATTATTAACTCACAGCAATTGAATTGACAAGAGAAGTCTTGCCAGCATTCTGAAGACCTACAAGAGAAAGCTCCATCTCTTGCTTAAAAAACAAACTACAAAAACACACAAACACAAATTCACAACCATTCATTCAGTTAACCTATTCATGCAAATCCCAAAATAACTGAAAGACTAAACTTGAAGGGTTTTTCTTTTTCAATATGTATAATACAGTAACTGGTATGAGAGAAAAACAAAAAATGAATCGGAAAGAAGTAAAAAGTGAGTGTTATACCTGCGGAGCCAATTGAGAAGAGAATCCCAGAGACCCATTTTGAGAGAATGAAAAAGGAAGGATAGGATAGGAGAAAGGAAGAAGCTTTAACCGACCAATAATAGATTTTGGAATGTTAAGGAAGGAAGGGATGTTTGTTTGGAATGTAGAAGGTGGATACGATACGGCAAAAGAAAACACATAACATAGGTGTTGTTTTGTTTGTCTGCGGTACCTCGTTTTGTGTGATAACTGCTGAATCTACCTTGCTTTTCCCCCTTTCCAATTGTTACTCTCTACAACACACCAAACAATAAACCTAATCTATACTAGTATTATTAAATATATATTTACTTAGTGCTTGTGATTTAAAACCCTTTTTTTTAGATTCTTTTATAAAAAAAAATAACCACTATTTTAAAAAAAAAAATCCTTAAATAATAATATCTTTAAAATATAAATCAAACTAACCATTTTTTAAATAAATAATAGATCATTGTCTCTTTTCTCTATGTATTTATTTATATCTAAACTGAGATATATCATCATACCAGCAACTTGATTTGTTATTTCACTCTCAATCTCTTGTCCTAAAAAAAGGAGTCTATCGTAAAAAGTTGATGGTATAAGTCAACCCAAATAGCTTCATCCTCTAATACCAATGGCAGTGACACATGCATGCAACTTATACAACTTTTAGAAGCATGTGTCATTGTCTGTGACTCCTATATTGTTTTGCTTTATATATATATATATATATATATATATATATATATATATATATATATATATATATATATATATATATATATATATATATATATATATATATATATATATATATATATATATATGTCATTCTTTTGTTAGATTTGTTCATAATATTATGATTTTTATCGATATAGAAATTAAGAACATAAAATTAATTCATATGAGTCAATAATTCATCAACTTGTATCCATTAAACCCATATCAGAATTCAATCAAAGAATGTAAGCAGAAGCATACCTGAATTTGCCATTGTAAATAGTTGAAGGTTACCGGGTATGTGATCTTTCAATTGTAGAATTTTTTATGCCTCCTTGAATCTCCTCTGATGGGGATGAAGAGAGAATTTTTCTGATGAGTCATAACTTTTCAATCGCTTTACAAATGGGGAGCATAACCCCTATAAATAACCTTAGGATTATTTCTTAGTTATCAATATTGTAATTCGACCCCTCATCAAGTTAGATATTAATTTATGGTATTTATACTTAATCTCTTACATGACATTTATGCTTTTAACCTCATACTTAATATTTATTAGACCATGCAATTTTGGCTAGTTAAATAATAATCCTAATATATGCAATATTACATTTGTGACTCCAAAATTTTACTAATCTCCCATTGGCCACATATGTAACTTTACACCTGTGTTAGACTTTATGAGCTCAAAAATTATCATCATGTTCTTTAAGCATATCCAAAGTATCTCGTCCATTAGTCATGTTAATATACATAATCTAAGTTATTTTCATTATATTAATCATAACTGAACCCTTTAATGATCACTAATAATGACACAACTAAATGACGTAGATCCATCATGAAATGTATAGCATGAAAATCACATGAAGTTGGTTTGTGTATATCGATTTTTGTGAGTGCAACTTCCATTAGATGTATTTTGCATGATGTCAAAACTAGGATATTTTAGCGTTAATGTGTATTGGATGGTATCCTCTGATTTTCTATGTGCGTCTTAGCATTAGTTAGCAAGAAAGCATTTGGAGACAACTTGGAAAAGGTCTCATGCATCAAAAATGCATGGAAATTAATTTTTGGAGAAAAATTGCATCGTAGGTCGACACATACGTCTACAAGTCGACCTATAGAAAAAATATCTCATATATAGGTCGACACATCCATCCCATAGGTTGACACCCATCTGCAGTATTAAACCATGTAGCTTATGTTCCATGCGTCGCCTCTTCAGGTCGACACGTAGGCAGCACATGATATTCACAGGTCGACACATGACCTTATACGGGTCGGCCTATGCGTTGAACAGATCGACACATGACTTTCATAGGTCAACCTATGCGACTAAAATTTTCAAAAATTCATAATTTTTTCAAGTTTTTTGCATTTATTTTGCTTCCAAACCTGCATGCATATAAATACTTCATACATGCATCTTTGTCTAGTAAGGTTTCTAGTGAGTAAAACGTATACGAAATTAGGATTACAAATCATTCTCATTATCTTCAACCTCTCTTCTATGCATACACATAATCAAACTACACATAATCATGTTTTGATTAGGTGTCATTTAGATTAAGGTTGATAACATCCAATTAGGTTGATTGTACCATTTACATTAGGTTGAGAACTTTGAGGATTTCAAATCAGAAAACCAAGCTAGGGTTTTCCTACAAGATCGTTAGGGTTTGAAGGTTTTGGACAAGATTACACAATTCAAATCCAATCGAGTGAAAACCTTAGGACAAGGGGTGTCTTGCAAGGGAGTAGCGTGAGACAGTGGATCGTATTGGTAAATCTTGGGTTTCAACAAGTTTGCGCCTGGGATTAATTCGACCGAGCAAAAGCTTTGAAGAACAATGGGTTTCGTTCAAAGAAGTAGTGTGAGACAGTGAATTGAAGCGACATTGTTGGTTACTTAAACAATCTTTGATCAAGGATTTTTGAGGTGTCAGAAATAACATCAAAATTAAGGTTTATGTGGTTGGATTTCTACATCTCTTGTATACATACTTTTGCAAAGTAAGGTTAATTGCAATTATCTTAATTCTAATTCAAATTGAGGGCAGACGTACCCATAACAGGGTCGATTGGGGAACCGCCTAAAAAAATCCTTGTGTACTCTCTCTCTCTCTCTCTCTCTCTTTTAATTTGTTTGCAAATTATTGAATACATCGTTCATTTGATCAATTCGTTTGGAAATTATTTTTTTATCATATTTTAAAATATGTGTTGTTGAGTTAATTACAATCCATTTGATTGTGATTGGATTTTAAGATCAACAAAACCAAACAAATTTCCAAACGATATTGATTGCACGCAGGGTGTTCGATAAATTGCCTTATTGTATTTTTGTGTGTTTTGATCATTGGGAATAAACTTTACGTATAACTTAACATTCAATTGGTTGTGATTATTTGTGTTGAACAGTTTGTGTTCATTATTGTACGTTTGTGTCCCTTTACGCATATCTAAGCTTTTCGATAGAGGTTCGGTTAGACGGTTCGATTCGCGTTGTTTCCGCTTGTTACACTGGATTTTTTGACTTAATAATAATTGACAAGTATTCAATGAGACCAGCCATAAATGTGTCACGTGGAAGATAAAATACCATGGATCAAACTTGATCATAATGACTCAAGGTCGGGAATCACATAAAGGGATGTCGGTCGAAGATGGCGTAGTCGAAGGGCACGATGAGAATCACAGGGACTTAGTAAAATTGAATATTATGCTAAGTTAGTCACTTAGTGAAATTGAATACTATGCAATGTTGGTTAAGGTTGGAGTCCACCATTACAGTTGAATACTATGCCATGTTAGCTAAGGTTGGAGTCCATCATTATAATTAAGTATTATGCCATGTTGGCTAAGGTTGGAGTTCATCGCTACAATGGAAGTCATGACAACCCAGTCACCACATGTGGAGTACATCACTATAATGGGCAATATGTTGAAACACGTTACATTAACATGGTCGATGTCGAAGGCCTCGACAAGGATATTCAGTTCTTGGCACCAATAAAACAGTTGAGATGTTCAAATGATACCACAAAGCGGGAGTTACTATATCATCTTCAACGGTTACATGGAGAACGTGGGGCACGTCAGGGAGAACTACTACACGATCTGAAAACGTGTCACCACAGCAGTAGCTTATCATGCTTAGGCAGTTATCTTAGTATTCTATATATAGATACTTAGGTTCATTTTGTAAAGGGTTCGCAAATTGTAGACGTTTTTAATGTACTCAAAGTACCTGCACTGTGAGAAACGAGTGAAAGGAAGATGTAGGTATGCATTCCACCGTTTTATAGAAATTCAGCAATTTTATCTTAAGTCTTTCTTTTATGCATTCAAGTTTTTTCAACTTCCTTTAATTTTCACGCAACTTTACGTTTCTTACATTTTACTTTCAAGTCTCTCTTTTAACTTTAAGTTTCTTTTACTTCTACTTTGCATCAATTTTTGTTAGAGATCACAAACAATTTCATATGCTTGCCCGAGTTTATTAAACTTCGACAAGCCCTAGGATTTTCACGAGTAACAACAAGTATGGCAAGTTTACAGAATAACCCTTCGACATTTGTGGATAATGCTGTAAATACGTTTTCGCCTATTGTGGTGTCTGGTTCATCCATAAGCAACCATGGTCGATATGTGCCACCCCATATGGGGATGGGATTTGACTTCCAAGTGATGCATGTGATGACAAAAAACTCTCTCATGGCAATAAGGCAGCAGATGGACGAGAGTAACCATGATATGATAAATACTCTAACACAACAAATGGGTACAAAATTTAACCTATTGACTTAAAACACGAATCAGAGTTACCAACAATTGGCGACTCAGATGACGAGGATTGCAGATTTCTTTGGCGCTCCCTCAGTGCAAGTTTGACCGGCTGCACAAACCCAGGTTGTTGTGCAGGTTTGGAACGAATGAGTAGTCCTAGAAGAGACTATGAACCAGAGGCAACATGGAAATCCCCGACAGGTCGAACATGAAGTGCATGTTGGGGAAGGTAATCCACATGTGATAGCGGTTAATCGAAACCAGGATGTTGACCAAGTGGTTCACCAGGTTCGACAAGGGAATTTGTTAGGAGAGAACAATTTGATAACTATTGTCGAAAGAATAATGGCTCAAAACATGGTGAATATGGGCTTGCAAAGACCAAATTATACTTCCCCCTCTATCAGAGTATGTGTTACAAACAGAGTTGCCATGGGGATGGAAAGTCCTTAAGTTTACAAAATTTGCTGGTGATACCAACAAATCTACGGTCAAACATATTGCTCGTTACCTT